CTCCACGTCGCGTTGCGGACTTGTATTCCGGTAGCCCAAATACGCGCGGATATTTATCGACGCGTTTTAACATTCAATCCAAACTTTTTCGTGGCGGGCCGCCACCATTTCGATAAGGAATGTAAAGGATAGAAAGGATTCCCATATGAGGGAATATATAATACACACATACACACACATATATATATATATATATTGTTATTTTACATGTGTGCTTCTGACGTTTATTTTTTTTCTTTTTTTTTTTTTTTTTCTTTTTTATAAGATATAGATATATATTTTATGTATATCGTATGCAAAACTTTAAGTGTCTTTGACATATTTTTTAAATACATTATTTATCTACGTCAACTTTTTTTTTTTTTTGTATATACTTCATTGTAATTTCTTTCTGATCGTAATATAACTTTCCATTAATATTTATTTTATTAACTTATGATACTTATAAATGAGTAATATAATAATTGTATTCGATAATATTATAAAATATCAATCAACGATTTCTTTTATATTTTTATTTAATGATAATTTAGTATATTATCCAATATATATATATATATATATTTGTATATGAGCGTTGGTTTTATATAGAAACGAGTTTTATTCGTCGATATATTTGAAAATCATCATGAATAAGGAATGTCGCGTATTACGAATACCAATGTTGCATTTGACGAGACTAGGAAAAATAGTTTAGCCTACTCGGCAAAATTGGTTTCATTAATGGTACGGCTTAATAAAGCTGACTGCTTGAAGGAAAATTAGTTTCTCCTCTAGGCTTAGCTTCCTGTTTTACTTTTAATCATTCGGAAATTTTATTCTCGACTGTTTTCTTTCTCTCTTGTCTTTCATTCCTAATAAATTTCTTTTCTGTTAACGACATCTTCTACTTTTAAAAGATATAATAATAAATCAATGCGATTTCATTGAATAAAAATTAATTGATCTTATTGGCCAATAAAATCAATAAAAACGTTGTACGAATTTCTTTGTATATAATAAATAATCATATTTATTCATACAATGAAAATTAAATATGATAAATGAGATTAGGTAAAATCATCGTAACTCGTAGAAAGTGATATTATTTTTCGATATTAAATATATTAATTGATCTTTCAAGCAGATCGTAGAAGTAACACACATCGTTATAGTTATCCACAGCAAAGGGAACGTGGAAAAGTACGGAGCTGTGCTTAGAGAATATTCATAAGTTCTATGTATAAGGGAGACATAAAATAAATATACATACACATGGACAGACCCAGCTTATACATATATATATATATATATATATCGAACGGACGTTCCATGAATATTTTCCGCTTCACGAGAAGAGTAATTCCGGTTTGCTCGAGGAACCACTCGTTTAAGTGTTCGTGAAAATGGAAACGAGCCTTACGAGCAATAATTGTCGCGTGCAAATACGATTACGATGGTTTCGTTGAAAATAACAAGTCGCGGAATTTCGCACCGACACATTACGTGCTACATATACATAGTACGTATGTAATTTGCATATATATATATATATATACACACACACACATTTATATATATATATATATATATAGATACATATGCATAGTATTTATATTTGTATGTGACGGGTGGCACACATTGTTTTCGTACACGCTTCTCCTGTTTCCTTCCCTTTTTAACAAGCACCAAGCAAATAGCTCAGCAATTATTTTGTTCTCAGGTTACATTCATTTCAAAAACTGACATTATATGATACGTATGGTAGACTTGCAGGATGAGTTAGTAACAATTATAAGATGAGATCACATTTTATTTGTTATATTTGTTATTATTCTTTCCTTTTTTTTTCCTTTCTTTTTTTTTTTTTTTTTTTTTTTTAATATGAATCCATAATCGATATGTCAGCAGATATATTGTATTATTATATAAATATTGTTGTCGTCGTCGTTGTTGTCTTTTTAAGATCAGTAGATAAATAAAATATTTCAAATTGGAGCAATTTCCGACTCATCCTATACCCGCGTATCTCTCTATCTATCTATTTACATACGTGTTTGATACACATAGGCGAGAACCAATTCAGTCTCGTGCTTTGTTACACTGATTTTATTATTTTCTATTCGGACGATTGCCACGGTGCACGCGACATAACTCTCGAGAAATTTTCAACGACGATAAGCACCCTTCCAACTATTCAACATCATTACCATTCGTTATGCCATAATAGGGAGTGCAATCTCTTTCGAACGATCGAAAATCGTTTCTTCTAAATTTTATCACTTATATATTTAATCTCTACGAAGCTTCGCATTACTTTATAAATATTTTTTTAACAAAATTGTAAACTGTTACTTTTAGTATTAACAAATATAACATAAATAAGTATCGTCTTTTCAAAGAAGAAATATACTCGAATAACATTTAATCGGTGAAAAAGGAAGGTGTTAGATTTCTCTCTGAATAACAGCAGACAGTTTGGCGTCGTATCCACTCACGAGTGGTGCAACCCTCGTATATGGTCCGGCATGCGCTCTTCGAAGGAGCTATACTGACCTTGACTCTATGGTGACTAGGACTGTGTCCTGTAGAGTGAAATCAGCTGATCGCTATTCTATAATGAATATATGAAGGAATTCATGAGGCATCGGCAAAAAGATGGAGATATGAGTTTATTAGAAAAAAAAAAAAAAATAATAATAATAATAAAAAATGAATAAAAAATCAAAAATCAAAAAATTAAAAAAAGAAAATAAAATGAAATAAAATAAAGTAAAAAAATGATAAGAAAAGAGATAGGAGATTTAAGCTATGCATTTGTTCGATAGAATCGAATCGAAAAAAAATGAAACGAGAGGCCGAAGAAGGAAACGAAGAGTGGAATGAATAAGATAGATAGATAAAGAGAGAGAGAGAGAGAGAGAGAGAGAGAAAGAGAGGGAGAGGGAGTGCCGTGATGGTTCCCGATGAAGGGTCAGGAACAGGAGTGACTCCGTCTAGAGGGGGTGCGACTCGCGGAAGGGGTGCGGGTTGGAAGGAGAGGGATGTATTGATTGCGCCAGGTTGGCACGACAGAGAGCAACAGAGCGCACAAGGGAGGTAAAGAGGAGGCTGCTGGATATCTACAGAGAGAAAGAGAGAGAGAGAGAGAGAGAGAGAGAGAGAGGGATAATAGACAAATACACTATGAATAAGAAAGACAGAAATATTGATATATAAATACCATTGAAAGAAAGATAATTCTCTCTTCTTATATAAAATTTCGAATAAACAAAATCTATTGTAATAAGAATGAAAAATGAAAATAGATTTTATTGAACGTTCGACATAGTACGATTTCCTTCGCAAACAGCGATGCGATTTAGGTCGTTAGAATGTCCTCGATCTGTCGATCGTCGCCATGTCACATCGTACTAACTCAAGAGATTCTTCCGGATCGTAGATTCGAATCGATAGGTTTGGCACATTTGGAAAACGAGTAGCCCGATCGACGCGGACGATCGGCCAAATGAAACGCTTCCAAGTTATTTCAATTTTATCCTTTGCCAGGCGAAACGAAAGGAACTGAGAAAAAGAGAAAGACAAAGAAAGAGAGAGAGAGAGAGAGAGAAAGGGTAAGAGTTTTTATTCACTACTGAGCGTTCACTTTAGGAAATCACGACGTTCCAATTTTTCGTTATTTTCTGGTGTTCCTTTTAGTAAAGTGGTTTCCTACGTAGATAGATAGTTTCAATGTTTGCGTTTGTACCTAAGGCATGCTTAAAAAAAAATTTCTCAAAGAATCCATTTTTCAAGAATGTATTAGAAGTGGATCGCGTTTTATCGTGTAAGACAAAGAAAGAAAGAAAAAAAAAAAAAAGAAGGAAGAAGAAAAAAAGGAAAAGACATCGAGTTCGTTGGAAAAGATCATTGTTGTCTTTTCTTCTTTATCGTTCGACGCAAACGTGTATCCCATGGCCGATTTAAAGCGAACGACGTCCCTGAACTCCTTCCAACCGTATTCCGCCTCCTTTTTTTTGCACTATGCTAAACTCTTTCATGCTCGATCCTGACGAACCGTGACTCTCTTATCCGCAGAGGAGGGAGACGAAGGACGAGAGAATTACGTAACGATCATTGATCTCCTCGTACCGATAGTCCGAGGAAACTCCTGCATTTTCTTATTCACTTCTTCGATTCCATCTACATTATTTTTTTCTTTAAATACTTCTATATTTTATAATATCGCATTGATTAAAATTCACGTGTTATCAGTAATCCCAAGCGTTACGTTGTTTCTAAGATAACTAATATTACGGAATTTAATATGAATATATTACGAGAGAAGGAGAGGGGAATTAAGTACACACAAAGACTATATCATTTTTGAAGTAACGATGAAAAAGAATAGCTTATCTAATAAGTAATATTATATTTAAGAATGAATTCTGATTGGATTGCTATCTTATATATTCGAAGGTCTTTTTAAAAGGAGAAAAAGAAAAATTCTCAAAGAAAACTTTGGACCATTTTATTCAACATCTCCCATCAGGGAAAGAAAGAGATCTTTGTTAAGATATTCTTCCTAGGAGACACTAAAACGCAGGCCTTTATGGATAAGAGAATATCAAGGCGTATAGATGGTACGCGTAGCGTAGCAAGGCTCTCTAGATATGGGAGAAGGTTGTGCGTAAGACTAAAGGAGGGTTCGAAGGGAGGGTAAAAAGAGAACGATAGAGAGAGAGAGAGAAAGAGAGAGAGAGAGAGAGAGAGAGAAGAGATGGGGTAGTAACATCGTTGAGGGGGAAAAGACATAGTGGATGTAGCAGGTGGGAAACGCGCGCAGCTTTTCAGGTTTGCCAAGCAAGGAAAGGAGCTTGGCAGGTAAGCGGAGGGTCGAAGAGAAGGAGGAAAGTTGGCTACGTGTTATCGTTCGGACCGACGGAGGTTGAGCGTGCGACGCCGGCGTCGCCGACGCCTTTCTAGTTAGGAATATTTCCTCTCCGTCTAGCATGTGGTATAGTCTCTTTTTCTATCCCCACCACTACAATCGAAGCGTCACGGTCGGCAGCAGTAGTACCACCAGTGGCAGCAGCACCACCTCCACCTCTACGAGCACCATCACCAGCAGCAGCAGCAGCAGCAGCAGCAGCAGAAGGAGTAGCAGCAGCAGTACCAGTACCACTACTACCACCACCAACGGCACCACCACTGGCATCATCATCAGCAGCAGCAGCAGCAGCATCGCTACCACCACCACTGGCACGCCGCTTTCCACCACCGACTCCACCTCGGTCAGGAAAGAGCTTCCGTAAAGAGCTCCAGCAGCGGCTCTTCCTCAGACGTGTTCTCGTTCGCGTAGCGCGACGGTGGAGCTCGAGGAAAGTACACGCTCGTTGCGAGACTGCCGAAGCTCGTCTCCCTCTCTCTTTCTTTCTCTCTCTCTCTCTCTCTCTCTCACTCTTTCTCTCTCTCTCTCTCTATCTCTCTATCTCTATCTCTTTCTTTCTCTCTCTTTTTCTCTTTCTTTACTTCTCTCTTTCTCTTTCTCTCTCTCTCCCTTCCCCTTACTTCCTTTCCCTCTTTTCCTCTTTCTTTCTCCCTTTCTTTTTCTCATTCTCGTTCTCTCTTTCTCTCTGGTAACCTCGTGCTCAGCTGTGTGGGAGTGTATATGATATATAACAAGGAGAGAAGGGCGGTGATCGAGGAGAGCTCCGCTAGGGGGAAGGGTGGGAAGGGTGAGGTAGTAGTGGTGGTGGTGGTGATAGTGTACAGGACGTTTAGATGATAGGCGACTCCCGGTGGAGGCGCTACTATCAACCGGTCCCGATCGCTCGGTCACGGTGACGCGCGCGTTCGCTCCTCGAAAGGCGTGTCGTGTCCTCCTCCTCTTCCTCCTCCTCCTCCTCCTCCTCCTCCTCCTCCTCTTCCTATTCCTATTCCTATTCCTCCTTATTCTTCTCCTTTATCCTTATCTTCCTCTACCTTACTTAACTCCAATACGCTTCCTCATATTCTTTCCTCCTTCTTTTCTTTCTCAACCTCCTCCTTTAACACGTATCACATCGTATCATCGTGCCTTCCTCTCGATGGATACACGATGGTATTCATTGAGGTCGACTCGTCGAGTACTCTCCTCGAAGGACTCTCTCGTCGTCCTCGAGGAACGCGTTGGCCGCGCTCGGCTGTGAAGGAAGGATGAGCGAGAGAGACGGCGCGTTCCGCGACGACGCTCGACGGTCGATGTCGCCGTGTTGCTGCCGTCGCTACTGCTGCTGCTGCTGCTGCTGCTGTTGGTAGTGTGTGTCCTCTTGATCAATTGTGTTATCCTCGACAATCGTCTTATCTCCTCCCTATCGTTTCTCTTTTCCTTTTCCGCGCGTGATTATAGTGCGTACGTATGTACGTGCATGCGTATGTGCGTGCGTGCTTGCGTGCGTGCGTGTGTGTTTCCGTCTTACTTTCAATCACGATCTGTCTATCTATCAATTAATCAATCAATCAATCAATCTATCTATCAGTCTATCTATCAGTCTATCTATCTATCTTTTTTTCTCTTTCTCATATGCATATTCATGTGTACACACACGCATACACATACACGTTGTGTCTCTCTCACTCTCACTCTCTCTCTCTCTCTCTCTCTCTCACTCTCTTTCTCTCTTTCCTTTTCTCTTTGTGCGCGCGCGTACGTACACGCCTCTCCTTTCCAAGCGCGTCCTCGTCGTTCGGTTCGGTTCACGCGCCTATGTTTCCAGTGACACGCTGCGGAACTTTTCCTTGCGAGAGGGACCGTACAGAGAAAGAGAGTGAACGGATAGATGAGAGAAAAAGACTTTGAGTGTTAGAGCGAGTAAGAGAAAAGAAAAAAGAAAGAAAAGTAAAAAAAAAAAAAAAAAAAGAAAGAGGGAGAAGAGAGAAGAGACAAGAAGGAAAAGCGAAAGTTCAAAGTCGAGAAAAGAGGAACGAGGAAGGAAGATATAATCCGAGTCAGAGGGTGCCAAGAATAGAGCGATATAAAGACAGACGGACAAAGTGTTAGAGATATTGAGGGAAAGAGTGTAAGAGATAGAAAGATAAAGAAGAAAGAAGAGAGTGGAGCAGCCATTTTGATCGGTGGCTGTGCGCGTATGCCGCTGACCGTGATGGTGTTGTTTGGTGTATCTACCGGCATCGGTGTTTTTCGTGACTGATCGTGGTTGTGTTTTATCAGCCAGTGTTATCTCTTCGTTTAGAGATGCACGATCAAGAATAAAAGAAAGAAAATAGTTACGATCAGAAAAAGCGAGGGAGAGAGGGAGAAAGGGAAAAAGAGAAAGAAAGAAAGAGAACAAGTGCGTGAGAAAGGCAGAGAAAGAGAGAGAGAGAAAGTGAGCGAACGAGCGAGTGAGCGAGCGAGAGAGAGAGAGAGAGAGAGAGAGAAGCATTGCAGGGTGCGTGTTGTGCGGGGGTGCACCGCTCTCCGGTGGGCATGGGGCTCGAGAGGGGGATCCGCCCCCTCTCGTAACCGCCGCGAAGCGCCAAGATTTCCCGCATCGAGTTCATCGAGAAATGGGGGCTGACCCCTGTCCTCAAACCGAGGCAGGACCTACGCCCCCACCGGAATGGTGCGGAGGAACACGGCGACACGAGGTACGCTCTCTCTCTTATCTCCTTTTCTTTTATTTTTTTGTCTTTTTCCTCCTATCCTCTTTTTTTCTTTCTCTATTCCATTTGAAAATCAAATTTTCCTTTGCCACCCTTTCTTATTTTCTTCTTCTTTCCCTTTTTTTTTTCCTATACAATTTCACTCATCTCTGTCTGTTCTTTTCTTTTTTCTTTTGTATTTTTCTCCCTTTTGAAAAGCAACATTTTCACGTTTCCTTTTTTCCCTTTATCCCTGGGTCTTATATGCGATATCACGATTTGACTCCTATTTATTTATCTGTCTTATTTTCTTCTTATCATTCCTCTCCGACGTGCCGGCGCTGGCGCTGTCGCGCACGCGCACCTTCCTCGAGAGAACCGACTTTCCGTTCGTCCGGCAACGTGACGCCCACCCCCGTACGCTATCTATTGTACAACCGCGTGTGTACACCGACGGCCCTACATTTTTCTACTTCTTTATTATCTGCTTGTGTATTTGCATTTTCTTTTTTATTTTCTTTTTTCAATCGAGATCGTTCGTGTATACTGCCTGTACTTTCTTTTGTCTTTTCTTTTCTTTTTTTTCTTCTTCCTCTTCTTCTTGAAGTTTCTTATCGGAAAATTTCTGGTGAATATATATACATATATATATATATATATATATATATATATATATATATGTGTAAAAAAAATATATATATATATATATTTTTTTTTAAATAAGCTGCTCGTATCAATGTGTGTATAGAAATGTTTCTTAAATTTCTAGCACAGTAGAGTTCTATCGTTGTAAATATCAAGTTTGACGAGTTTTGTAGAAGAGTTATGTGTGCATGTAATAGAAGAGATTACATAGTACAATAAGTGTTGTTTCATTCTACAAGAAAGTAATAGTAGATTAATGTTTTTACGAATTTTATTTTAGTTTAACGGAACAGCTGAATTACAGTAATTTTTGAGGGTGCACTTAAAGATTCGAGTGTGGTAATAAAGAGTTGAGAGAGAGAGAGAGAGAGAGAGAGAGAGAGAGAAAGAGAGTAAGTTACAGAATTGTTTAAATTATTTCAAAGGTGTCGCTAAGTTTATGATCTTGAAGATTATTAAAAGTTCCTAAAAGAATATTGCTTTAGAATGCTCTTACAAATATAATGTTCTTTTTCTCAGAACAATTTAATTGTTAGAATTAAAAAAAAAAAAAAAAGGAAAAAAAAGAAAAAGAAAGAGAAAGAAAAAAGAAAAGAAAAGAAGAAAAATTTCAATTGAATTTACACCTCTGCGAAAATTGTGAGAATTTTGCATGACTGTAGACTGTGTTTTATCGGATATTAGATGTGTATATTGCACGAATTTTTTTTGTTTTGTTTCATTATAAAACATTAATAATGAATCACCCCTCTCGTCTATTATGTACACACATACGCACACGTATTTTATCGTCGCGATATTTTTAGGAAAGAAAAACGTCGATGGACTCTTTTCTTCTTTCTTATATTTTTTTTTACTTTCTTTCCGTTCCCCCTTTCTTTCATGATATTTACGAAAAACGGCTGCTTCAATCGCGCGTCTCCTTGTAAAGCTACGAGTGTTTATAGAAGGAACGCGTGGGCCCAGCTGTATACGTAAAATACAAATCGTATAATCGTTAGATTAGAAACGATGCACGCGTTTTCGTGTAATCCTTGTTGCCACAATAAAATCGCGCGTTCGTCGATCTCTCGTCCTCGAGAATGATCGTATAATCCTGATTTGTTACGTACGTACAATAAATTTTTGTTTGCGAATTCGGAGATGAGAAAGGAAAAAAGATATAAATATTAAAATAAAATTGACAAATGAGAGAGAGAGAGAGAGAGAGAGAGAGAGAGAGAGAGAAAGAGAGAGAGAGAGAGAGAGAGAAAGATGGTTGCTTTGTTATAGTCCTTTCACCGTGTTAATCGCAACTACAAAATTGTCCTTTCGTCGATGTATGTATTTTTCAGGCGCGTAAGAAGGTGTTGTCACTTTTGTCTGAATAACGAAGACGGTTCTCCCGATGTACAATTGCATGCGGATCGTTTGAGAGAGAGAAAGAGAGAAAACTCTTTTCTTCTTTACGATTTGGCAACGATAACACTACTGGAACTATAGTTACACTTTTGTATCTTCGAATTAATCATTAAGAGAATGGCAAACACGAGGTATTCTTTATCGTAAGACGTTTTTTTACCAAGATTTCCAATTAATTAAATAATTAGCTATTAGAATTATATTATTAGTTGGATAGTATGAATAGAATGCTGAAAGCTTTGCGAACATGAACATTAACACGAATTTCTTTCCTTTCTTTTCTTCTCCTTTTCTTTTTCTTTTTTTCTTTTCTTCTTTTTTCTTTTTTTTTTTTTCTTTTTCTCTCTCCCCTTCTTTCATTTCCCTTCTCTTTCTGTTCACTTATAATACGAAATAGGATAAATAAATGCTTTGGGACTTGGCTATAAAGAACGTGGCGCACGCTCAGAATATAGATCGGTGCTTTTCGCGAATAGGTTTTACATATATTTATATATATATATATATATATATACTTATATACACATACACATACGCATACACACACACACACACACACACACACACACATATATATATATATACACTTGTAAGTATTGAAGAAAGAGTTCGATTTCATGGATCATGAATTATGATGGGTGCCAATGAAAACTAAGTTACAGATGCCTAAGTATTTAAGAAATCAAATATCATTTATCATAGTTTTCATTCTTCGAAAGAAATGTTTCTCTTCATTTAGATATACCGGAAAGTATCGAAAAAATATTCGGACAAATTTAGTGTCACACGCGGCAATGTTTTCTCCTTGAGTCGTTTCT